AGATATGAGATTCTAGAGTCATTTGCTTCCCAATTCAATGTTATTATAGTGGTCAGGTTTATAAACATTCTTATTTTTATTCTAGAGCAAGTAATTACAAATTCTTTTAACCTTTTCTAAAATTTTAAATATTTTCAAGCCTGAGACCTTCTAGAAGTAGATTGCCACACCTAAATTCTGAATTGCCTCTGGATGGGTTTGAATTGTCAATCATTTGCTGAGGTCAGACATGCCTCCAGTATTCCACCTTTTCTCTACCAAATCTGACACCAACCAGGCTTCCTACAGCACTCTACTCAGCTGGGTTCAATAACTCATTGCCATGGCCACACAGAATTCAGACACCATACTCACAGTAATGGGGTTTATCAGGGAAGTTAATAGGTTACAAATTCAGAAGGACAAGAAATGCTCAGGGCATAGTAGTTATTTCAGGCTGCACAGCCTCTTCCTAGCCATGCCCACAAGCAGGCTTCTCTCTGGTCCTTGGCCTCTCAGTCACCACCTCTTAGTCTTTGCCCAGCTCCAGGAATGCTACAAAGCTCTTTTAGCACTTCTGATAAAAATGTCCAAAGGGCACTCCATTTCACTATAAGCCTCAGGCTGAAGGTGTTTGGCTCTAGCTTCCACAATTAAATGCCTAGAGGTACACCATTCTACAAGAGAACCTCCTGTCTGAAGGTATTCAGCGTTACTTGCTCCATGGACTGGGAAGCTGATCACTCTATGTCTTGGTTCTACTGCTGCTCCTCTGCCCTCCTTTGTTATTTTTGGTGTCATAGCATCAACATCAGTCCTGGGTCAAGAAGGTTCAATGCATAGGATTCTCAGGGCCCAAAGCATACACTCCATTCCTGGCTCTTCTTCCTTAATGTTAATGAAATCTCCCTCTTCCTGTTTCTGAAAAGTCTTATTTTATACCCACATTAGAATTCCAAGTGTTTACAATTACAATTAGTCCTGTTAACAGTCATTCACAAATAAATTATAAAATCCTATCATCATCTTCTCCTACTCTCTCTTACCCAGATCCATCAAGAAAAAGAATTGTGTAGTGGGAACTATAAAGACTATGGGAGAAGAGCCAGATGAAGAAACCTACTGCACTGTACTATATATTCTATAACAATCTTTTTAAAAAATTCATCTCCTCCTCACTGTTGAGTTGGTAGAGGTCATGGGAAGTGGTGGTATCCAAGTAGCATTCAAAACATTAATAGACAAGAAAGGGCCATGAATTCTGGAGAATGGTACTTCTAGGGCTCCCACAGTCAAGTCACCAAAAAACACAGAGCGGTACCTAAATGAAGAGGCAAGTACTCAACATGGACTGAATCCGAACTCAGCCCATCTGGAGGGGAAGTGACCACTGAGCACCTCCAAAATGAGAGCAGCCCATTCCAGAATAAATTCCCCTATCTTCTATGTAATTTCTACCCTAATGAAGTTTCTGTCCATGATGTGACTTAATGAACAAACTTTGTAGTAATAGATTGCTATAAAAGGTCCTCTCTTTTCCCATAAGTTAAAACAAACATGAAACTGTTTCTAAATATTATTTCTGTTATAAATTTTGCCCAGAGGGAATGCCAGGGAACGGAGAAAGGGATGACAGAGGATAATCGGGTCAAGGAGAAAAGAGAAATAAGTGAACAGAGTGTTGTGATTGGCTAATCCTAGCTCTGCTAATAGCTAACTAAACTACCTTCTTTAGGACCTTCCTCTTTGAAAAATGAAGTGGGAGTAGAGGTTGCATTCAAGAACAAGAATACATCCTAGAACACGATCTCCCCAATGGGAGATCTTGCCCAGAGCTTTATAGCTGAGAATGGCAACTGTTCATAGGGAGAAAAAAGTCTCTTAAATTACTGGGGTAAGGGATATCTCAGATTATTACGCTGGGGGATGGGAGGACTTGGTAAAAATTAGACTACCTAAAGAATAGTAAAGAAGAGTCCATGAGTCATCAATTCAACATTACTTGTGTGGGGTTCTCAAAGCAGTGCTAGAGATTACAGAAAAACATCACAGTACTTGCCTTCAAAGTGCTCAGAGTCCAGTTTAGGATTTGGCCAAAGAATGTCTTTTCCAAAGAATGTCTACAGTCTTCACATTCAGATTTCAATGAGAAAAAATAAGGTATCTAAGTTTCTGAACTTCAAATCCAATGCTCTAACACATATGAATAATGACCATGAGTGTCCACTAGCTGTATTAATGAAAGTCTGGAGTGGCGCTGTGGGCTAATGCTTCAGACTACAAAGTCGTCTGAACGGCAAAGTCAGTGGTTCAAGCTCACCAGCTGCTCCTTGAATATCCTCTACAGGGTTGCTATGAGTTGGAATCAACTCGAAGGCACTTAAAAACAACAACATTAGTATGTATATAAGCTAAAGAAAATTTGAGAATGAGATAAAAATTCCTACCAACTGATAATAATATGAAATCCTCCTTTAATAGATTTGCCTTGTCCATAAACTGCAACGCAAATGTATATATCTGTCATCAAACTTAATGCCCGAGTTCTGCGCTGGATTAATGCGCTGGACTGCAAAGTCATTTGAACTCTAAGGTTGGTGGTTCAAGCTCACCAAGCTTCTCCTCAGAAACCCTAAACAGGATTGTTATTGGTCAGAACCAACTCAACAGCATTTAACAACAACAACAAAACCATCCAGCACTGCACCTCCATATCATCTCTATTCCCAATGCACAGCATACAGTAAGGACTCAGTCCCACTGCTGTTATGTGACATCAAGTAGGTTCTGGCTCATAGTGACCCTATATAGGGTTTCTGAGGAGCAGCTGGTAGGTTTGAAATGCCGACTTTGTGGACCTTGCAGTTAGCAGTCCAGTGCTTATCCTACAGCGCCATACCAGGACTCCCCATGCACTCAGCCTGTACTGGTTAAACTAGTGATCTCCACAGCCCTAACTCTCTATCTTTCCTCATATCTCCTCAGTTATTATACCTTGTGATTTCTACCTTAAACATACTTCATTTCTACTCAATTGTCATCACTCCATTTTTATCCATTATCATCATGTGTTGGAGTCCTGTTATGGCACTGTAGGATAAGCACTGAACTGCTAACCACAAAGTCGACAGTTTGGAAACCCTATGCAGGTTCACTGTGAGATGGAACCAACTTAACAACACTCAACAACAACATAGCCCCTAATAAGTCTAAAATTGCCTGATATTTGACATCAAAACACAACCAAGTTCAATACAATAACCAATAAGCTTCCATGGCTACACAGGATCACACATATATAAACTTAATTCACCTTGAGACTTTTTAGAATATTGACATTACACACTTAAAATAAATTTTTGCAACTACAGGCACAAGTAAGGTGCCCTAATGGCAGAAATACGGTCACATGCTCACTGCTACTGAAAGGGCAGTGGTTTAAACTCACTCAGTAGCTCTTCAGGAGAAAGACCTGGCCATCTGCTTTCGTAAGTATTCCAGCTAAGAAAACCCTTCTGGGTTGACTTGAGAGCCCCTAACAACATAAGCACAAGTATAGATCTCACTATGAGACACAAAATTAAGATTTCTCAATCCTGATTTAAACAACTCTGTGGCATCCTGAAGTGGCTCTGTAGGATAAGTACTGGACTGCTAGCCACAAGGTTGTAGGTTCAAGCCCACCAGCTGCTGCTCCTTGGAAACTCTAGACAGGGTCACTGTGAGTCAGAACCAACTTGACCACACTTAACAATAACGACAACAATGGCTTATTAGGAGTACTGGTGTAGTGCTGCAGGCTAATGCACTGGACTGCAAGGTGTGCTTGAACTGCAAGGTCAGCAGTTCAAAACCACGATCCACTCCTCCAAAACCCTATACAACGTCGGTATGAGTCCAAAACATGCTTTATTTGTAAACTTGTACAAGCTGCCAGGTGAAGGAGCAGTAAAGTTGAAAGAGGAACGAGAAATACAAATTACAATCAGAATATTGAGCGTGGGAGTCTAGAGATATGCAAATAAATTGTACTGCCCTCCAAAACTTTAGCTACAGAATTTCTAAGTTTCTTTTACATTTGGTTGTAGTCAAGAACCCTGAAAAAAAGGTCACTGGAACTCTGAAAGGGAGGATTTACAAATTGGTAATCTTTTCCTAGAGACTTTTTTTTTAAAAGCATGTAAAAATCTGACTCAAGAGAAATCATTTAAATGCATTGAAATAAGTATTCTCTGACTTTCTCATATATCCATACTAAACCAACAAAAGTATAATTTAATTTTGAGACGAGCACAACAAATCTCGAATACAAATATACGAGTACCATTAAAGCATTTGCTGAAATAGCAACTTTATATATTTACCACAATTTGTTTTTTAAAAAGCACTTTAAAGCAGTTGCTGAAAAAAGTAGAGGCTTATCAGGGAGAAGTAGAGAAGAGGGATTTCCAGGATTAAAAGGTTGGGAGCAAGATGTAAACACCAAACAGACCGCATTTAAATACAGACCACTGAAAATAAGTGATTTAGCACTATTACACACTGTCAGTCCCTTCTCACTTCAAGACTTTCTAAACCATCTGAATGGATTTAGACTAATCATGGGTCTGCAAAGTGACTTCCCTTTCTTATCCACAATAACCACACCTGTATACAAATGTGTCCCCCACACCAATCGAGTCCTGTACTACACAGTAAAGACTTTGGGGTCGAAGAAGATTGTCTACTTTTCAGGAAGAGGCAAAACTGAAGAAAGGTGTCTAGCAAGCTGGCAGAAACTGAACACACAAAAGCCAGGTGTGAATGGCAGGTAAGGCCTCCTGCAGACAGAGAAACTGAAAGACTCGCTCTGCAGAGAGCTCTCGAATTCTCTGTTACAGATCCTGTAGACCAGGTTCCACTTCCCCGGTGACAAATCAGAGCTAAGTCCTTTCGCGCGACGAGGTCCGCACGGAGGCGGCCACAGAGCCGGTTCCTACACGCCCCCGGCCCCGATCCTTCCCCAAGCCCCTGCGCTGTACCTGGCGAAGAATTCGGCAAAGCCGCCGCTCCGTCGAGCCCGGGCCGAGGTGCCCCCGGGACCCTGCTCTGCGGCGGGCTGGGGCTGCGGCGGCGCCGCCGGGGGCAGGTGGTCGCCGACGCTCTGGCAGCGGCTCACCTCGAACGTGTTCCGAGAGTTCAAGTGAACGTCAAAGAAGCCCAGGCGCGACTCCGCGCCCGCGCCCCCGCTAGTCCTCTCGGCTGAGCCAGCGGGAGATGCGCCCTCCTGCGGACCCCCATCGCCGGCTCCCGGGTGCTCCAAGTCCTCGCTGCTGCCGCGGCTTATGGAGCTGCCCCCCGAGTCGCTGCCTGAGCCGTCAGTGTTTTTAGTGTCCGTGGCCGCCAGGCAGCAGCTCCGCAGCGGGTCCTCCAGCGGCGCGGCCCAGTCGGAGGGGCTGCCCGCGCTGTCGGCGCCCTCGTCACCAGGCCTTTCCAGGCGGAGACGGCCGCCGGCACGGGGCAGCCCGCGAGCCTCCTCCAGGTCCGGCAGAAAGCCCGAGTCCCCGTTGGTCATGCCTCCGTGCCGCGGCGCGCGGCCAGTCACCACCACCTCAGTGCCTCGGCACTTGGAGCCTGAGCCCAGCGGGCAGGCACCCGAGCGCTCAGCTGCCGAGGGGGACGGGGCGTGGGCCTGGCCGGCGGAGAGCGGACAGTAGCAGACACCCGGTTCCAGTTGCCCCCCTGCCGCCGCAAGGTAACGCTGAAGGAGCCGACGAGGCGGCGTCTCCTCCTTCTCTTCCTCCTCCTCCTCCTCCTCCGGTGGCTCCACTGCGCCGACGCCTCCGCCGAAGCCGCCAGTGGCCCGAATCATCGTCCCGTCTTGGCCCACTGGCTCCGGCGCCCGCACAGGGAGCAACTTGGGGTTTCTTCCCGAACAGGAGCCAGCATCCTCGGGCCCCACCATCTGAGGGCCAAGTGACCGCCGCCAAAGGAGACAACGGAAGACTCCCGAGCGCAAGCTCGGCCCGGGAATCGCCCTCGGTGCTGGGGCCGCGGCGGCAGCCGCCGCAACGTTCCCAGACCCACCCCTCCTACCCAGGGGTTCCGACAGTTGCAGGAGGGCGGGCACGCGCCTGGGCTCGCGCACGCGCAAAAGTCGGACCGGTCAAGTCCGGACCTGGAGAGTTCCCCGAACCATAGAGACGGTAGCTAGAGAGCCCCACTCCATTACGCTCTAAAGCCGCCAATCTAGGATCCGCCATCTGGATGGTGGAGGCTGGTTGGACAACTTCGAGCATGACAGTTCTTACAGAAGCGGGCACTGCTCACTTAGCAAAAACCCACTTGATGTACTTTATTTATGGAGATAGAACATGGGATGTTAGATAGGGTAAATCATTCCAGCTCTAACTAACTGGTCATTACCAGTCAATTTTACATCACTTTTCTCTAACCCCATTCTCACAGTTCAGGGCTTCACTGCCTTATACCAACAGCCTCTGTTATTCATGAAATCTTCCGTAGTGTTTCCAAAGTTACCTTTCTTATCTAAACCCACGTTTCATCACATCTCTCTGTTTGAAGATTTCCATTATCTCCAAATAATAAGGGATAGATAGAAAGTGGAATGAGGTAGTGAGGGACTGTGCATATAATTCCAATACATGATCTTTGTTGCTAAGTGCTGTGGAGTCGGTTCCAACTCACAGTGACCCTGAATAGGATTTTTGAGGAGCGGCTGGTGGGTTTGAACCACTGACCTTAAGGTTAGCAGTCTAGTGCTTATCCTACAGCGTCACACCAGAATTCCAGCACATGGTGATAATCGATTAAAATGGAGTGATGATGGTGGAAATTAAGTATGTTTAAGGTAGAAATTATTAGACATGAGCTGTGAAGAGTCAGATGCCAGCAATTATTTCAAAAATCCCAGACTGAAAACCATGTGGTTTGAAGAAGTAGGAAATTGGATTGGAAAAATAGATCTAGCAAAGAAAAGACTGGAAATGTTTAGCAGATAGTTAGAATTCTAAAATTTGGGGTAAAATTTAAAGATGAAGATTAGAGAGTCATCTTCACATATTCATAATGGAACGAGGTTGAATCTATGGATGACAATCATTTCGGAAGAAACAATAAAGATGGAGGTGGGGACAGAAACCTGGAGCTTTGGCAATCACGAGTCTATATTTTAGGATAAACAAGGAAACTGGATTATAAGAAATTAAGCACAAGCTATGGATGAAATCAAGCATCTGATACAGACCACTCAATCTAGACGTGTGTCAATGAAAGGATAGAAATAGAAAAATGGAGTAACAATTAGGGGAAGCAGTAGGACAAGTCTTTGGTAAAAATCTTATAAGAAAATGCATACATTACTCAAAAGGGTGAATATAATTTATAATATATATAACATATAATGTGGCCTTTTGCCATGGTTCATTGCAAAACAGTTGGGGAGATTTTCCAAAAGAAACTCTTGAGAAGTTACCTTTGTACTTTCTATTCATAGGGGTTTGTAGCATTTTCTTGGATAAGCTTTAAGCAACTTGTTTTGATGCGTTTGTCTAGCCCTGGTCTGCAGACTAATATACAACTTGCAAAGTTTGGCCAATATAATATGTAAATTAGTAACTATGGACTATTCAAATGAGGTGACTATAGATTACTATGCAAATGAAGTGTCTACAGTCTACCAGAGAGACTTTGTCCCCACCCCACCCCCACCACCCCCACACTAGCATAGGGCCATGCTTTGAAATGGATTAGGAGTTGTGTATGTATGTAGCCAACCCCACAGAGGTTTTCCAAGAAAAAAGAATCAGGAAGAGAAACAGCAGGAAGAAGCACAAGAAAGAAATAAAAGAGAAAAAGCAGAGAGAGAAAGTAAGAAACCTGTTTAGACAGCCATAAGGTCAAGGACTGTAACACTGAAAATAGCAAGAAGCCAAAAATGCCAGCAGTGACATAAAGGGCCTAGTGGCTGAGCCAGTGGCAATAGACAGCCCAAGAGGAGCCTTTCATCAGAGGACAGAAAGGGAACCTGTCTTAAAGGGCCTGAGAGTATACCTGCTTTGCCAGAGAGCTGAGGGAAGAATCATCCTGCACTAAAAAAGGGAGACTTTGCCTACATCTTTCTTCATCATGAATCTGGTTCTGATCCTGACTGTTGATTTCTGATCTATTAAGGAATTTACCCTACTCCTTAGTAAGCCACTTAACTGTATTGTCTGTGCGTTCCTGTGAACATTACAGTCAATTATAGAACCAGCAGAGATGTGGAGAATGCTGTGGGGAGGATGTCTGTTTTCAGGTTAGTAAAAATGTCAGTGTGGAGGTGTGTCTGACCATGGGAATCAACTTTGGGCTAATCCTGATCATTGTTGTTAGATATTGAGTCGACTCCAACCATATCAACCCTATGTACAGGAGAAAAAACCAATGCCCAGTCCTGCATCATCCTCACAATTGTTATGCTTGTTAAGCCCATTGCTGCTGCTTCAGTGTCAATACATCTTGTTGGGGGTCTTATCCTTTTTTTTGCTGACGCTCTATTTTACCAAGCATAATATCCTTCTCCATCCTGATAATATGTCTGAAGTATGAGCGATGAAGTCTCGTCATCTTGACTTCAAAGGAGCATGGCTGTACTTCTTACAACACAGATTTGTTTGTTCTTCTGGCAGTCCATAGTACTTTCTATATTCGTCAATAATTGCTTCTATAGTCTTCCTTCAATAGCCTCATATCCGTTGTCCAACTTTCACATGGATATGAGGTATTGAAAATACCATGCCATAGATCAGGCACACCTAAGTCTCAAACTCATATCTTTGCTTTTGAACACTTTAGAGAGGTCTTGTGCAGCAGATTTGCATAATGCAGTATGTCATTTGATTTCTTGGCTGCTGCTTCCTTGAGTGTTGATAGTTGATCCAAGAAGAATTAAGTCTTTGACAACTTCAATCTTTTCTCCATTGATAAGAATGTTGTTTATTGGTACAGTGGCGAGGAATTTTGTTTTCTTTGCATTGAGGAGCAACCCATACTGAAGGCTGTGGTCTCTGATGTTCATCAGCAAGTATTTTAATTTCGTTTCCTTTTCAGTAAGCAAGGTTGTATTATCTACACGTCACAGATTGCTAATGAGTCTTCCTCCAATCTCAATGCTTCCTTCTTCTTCATATAATCCAGTTTCTTGGATTATTTGCTTAGCATACAGAATGGATAAGTCTGGTGAAACAATACATCCCTGGCAAACACCTTTCAGAATGATAAGCTATTCAGAATCCCCTTGTTCTGTTAGAACATCTGCCTCTTGGTGTATGTACAGGTTGTTGTTGTTGTTGTTGAGTGCCATCGAGTCGGGTCCGACCCATAGCGACCCTGTACAGGGTTTCCGAGGGTGTAAATCTTTACGGAGTAGAAAGCCTCATCTTTCTCCCGCGGAGCGGCTGGTAGTTTCGAACCGCTGACCTTAAGGTTCGCAGCCCGATTCGTAACCACTACGCTACCAGAGCTCCTTACTCGTGAGCAAAATCAAGTGTTCTGGAACACACATTCTTCACAATGTTATCCATAGCTTGACATGATCCTTAACATTCTAAAGCAATACCCCCGTGAAGTTAGACAGATTCTGGTGATTCTATTATTTGTACTTTCATTTTACACACATATATAGGAATATATATGGAGCTCTGGTAGCATAATGGTTATGAGTCAGGCTGCTAACCTGACGATCAGCAGTTTGAAACTATCAGCTGTTCCATGGGAGAAAGATGAGGCTTTCCACTCCCATAAAGATTTACAGCCTCAGAAATACCAAGGCACACAACTACCACCACCATATAGGAATAATAAGATGTACAGCCATGTACTCACCATTCAGTTTAAGAAACATCAAGTTTTTGTTGTGAGGTTGTGTTTCATTATTATTACTATTATTGTGAGTATTCTTGAAGACCTTAGGAAGAACAAAGTGGCAAGTGTATAGTTAACAATGCATTATTGTCAAGATCTTTAAGATAAAAGATAAAAGTGAGTTCCAGGACACAGATGGAAAAGTTAACATTGGAGAGGTCTAGACATAGTGTTAGATATATAATTAAAAAGATGAAAATAGACAAGGATGTTTAATCTCAATCTTTTGTATTGTCAATCTTTTTCCTCTCTGCCTAGAGAAATTACCTTGCAACGAGTAACTTATTCCTAACTCCAGTTATATTTCTTCCTTGATAAAATAATACCTCAGTTTCTCTAAATGGTTTACTTTTGTTCATCTCCTTTCCATGATCAACAGTGGCAAAGTTTTATGAATCACAACAGCCCATACAACTCTACTATATTCTCAGTACAAACTTCAGCAGTGAAACACATTTATATTTTCAGACTTGGTCTACAATAAAATGCAATACTTAACAAATCATGTCAAGAGCTCTTTATATTTTACCCACCTTTCAGCAGTAAAAATTTATGTCTTATCAGGTGTATAATGGCACATCCTATTTTACAGAGAAAAAACATCATCTCCTTTTAAAGTGGTGTTGTTGTTAAGTGCTGTGAGTCGGTCCCAACCCTTAGCGACCCTGTATAGGGTTTCTGAGGAGTAGCTGGTGAGCTTGAATTGCTGAACCTTGCATTTCAAGTGGCTTTGTAGTCTGACTCATTAGCCCACAGAGCCACATTAGGACTCCACTTTTAAAGTGTAGCATATCCTTTTTTTTTTTTTATTTTAGCGTATCCTTTTTGTAATCTCTTAAAGTTTAGCATTAAATAGATCCATCTCATTGAGTGTCTACCTCTTTTTTACTGAATCTTCACTCTACCAATGATGCCCTTCTCTGGGAACTGGACCTTCCTTACAACATGTCCAAATATGGGAGACAAAATCTCCCCACTGTCACTTCTAAGGAGCAATCTGGCCCTACTGCTGCCAAAGCAAATTTGTTCATTCTCTGGCAT